AAAATATATATAGAATTAAGCTTAAGCGTTATAAAAATTTATAAAAATAGTTATTAGAAAAAAAAATAATTGTTTAAATAATTTGTAATCAAAAAAAAAACAAAATTAAAAAATATAATAGTAAATTTTACTATTACACAAAAAAATTCATTGCATTTTTTTATCCTTATTTATTAACTTTTTTTTTGTTTATTTTACTTTCTACTATAAATAAATTAAAAAAAAATTATTAAAGAAATTATAAAAGATTTAACAATTTATATTTACAAACAACGAGAAAAATTTCAATAAAAATCATAGTAAAAATTTAGTGTCAAAAAAGTTTTTTACGAAGTTTTCTGCTGTCGAAGCAGCAGTTTATGAAAAATTCGCTGAAAAAGTCAAAAAAATTTTGAAAATGGAATTTTTAAAAAAAATTTAAGTTAAATTTGGAATGCTGTAAAAAATTTACGTAGAAATGCAAAAGATGCGACTAAAAAAAAGTATAAAACCAAATTTATTTTACTAAAAAAATTAAAAAATTAGAAACATGTAAACCATAGAATTTTTTGCACTTAAATAATGCTTTAAAATATATTAAAAATGGCCAAATATTTAGGAAAGAAAAATATATCAATTTGTAAAAAAATTTAAAAAAAAATTTTTAATTTCTTCTTTCAAAACTGAAAAGAGAAACTTTTTTGAACTTAAGCAAAAAGACCATTAAGAACGAGGGCATGAATCAATTCTAACGGTGAACTCTTTAATTATCATATCGTAAATTTAGAAAAGTTTTATTCTTCAAAGTCGAAAATCTTCTTTAGGCTTATATCGTAATTGTTGATATTATTTAAGATTTACTTCCATAGAAATACTAAAAAAAAATTGTTTTAAAGAATTTTCTTTCTCCTAAAAAGTTTTTGTAATTTAGATACTTTAGTTTTCTGAAAGAAAAAAGCATTCACAAAGAATTCTTGGTATATCTTTTTTTGCTTTTAGCTTTGATAATTAGTTTTACTCCACAATACTGTTGGACTATCATTTTCTTATTGAAAAAAAGACTTCCTTGTGTTTTCAAGCAATCCTACGATTACTTTTTTTAACAAAGCTTTCTTTTTTGGTCTTCCCTGCTTTACCTTAATTACTTTTAATAAGCCTTACTACGTAAAATTTATTTAATGAGCAGCATTATTAGTACTGCAAAAGGATCCGAACATCCCTTTTGAGTTGGATATATTTATAAAAAAAAAAAAATCCAGAACTACGCAGAAGTTACCGCTAGCCATAAAAGCTGCCTTATTTATAAAAAAAAATGCGATTCATTGTTAATTAGTAAGTAAAAAAAACTACTTTTTGCAGGAGTTTCAAAACCTTTTTATGATACTACGCGGTCAAAAAAAAAAAAATCAAAAGCTACCTCGACGTTGAAGAACGTCAAAAGTATAAGAATTTCAACAACACGCACGTACAGCAATCAAGAATTAATAAATACAACTTCTACATTTAAACTATAAGAATATATGTTCTACAAAGATTAAAAAATTAATTTTGCCTATCCTTTACTAATAAAATAAATTGGGGATTTGTAAAAAGTCCCTTTTTTTAATTATATAGATGTTCCATATTAAATCTTTTAAATTTATATTCCTATAAAATATAATTGCCAGCGTAGAGTAAAAATTTTATTAAATTTAATTTTTAAAACGGTAGCTCTTATAAAGAGACCTTAAAACTTTTAAGATACATTAAATAATATTGTAGTAATTGTTGAATTCTTTCATAATACTTATGACTTTACTTTCAATAATACTACACTAGTTTAATTCTTAATAGAACTACGGTACTCCTCTACTTATTATAATAATAAAAAAATTAACTAAATAACTGAAGAAATGAGAAAAGTATATATAACATTTCTTTATGTTGATGTTAAATAAAAAAGTATACTTGGCACTTTTTATAAAGATATGTAACAGATTAAGGGTTTTTGTAACAAGTGAATTACCAGATAAATTTTTAATCTTACTAAAAAAATATATTAGAAAGCTACTGAAAACTTTTTCTTGGCGAAAACCTGATAATATATTCACTTACGAGCGAGAAGCTAAAACTAATATTTTTAAAAAAGCTGAAAGTTCCAAGGTCCCCCTCCCCCATTCCTTTACATACAAGGTTTTAAAAATTTAGAAGGGCCACCGGTTTTGTGGGTAGTATAAAGCCTTACTTCCAAAGTTTAAGAGAGGAACTATATAATTAACTACTACGTCTAAAACTAAGTAAACTATAACTAGGAATATTTCTTACTTTGTATCGTGAATTACCTATAAATATAATTTAAGTAAAATCCTTAGCAGAGGATACCAGGATTTTACTGTTTACGACGATAAACTAAATCAGTATTTTTTCCAAGTATCTGCTTACAAGTTTCTCAAGGCAAAATTTTGTTGCTTCTTAATAGCTTTTTATGTAATCTCAAAGTGCTTCAAGCATTAAGTTAATTATAGATAGTTATGCTCTCTTTACAAAAAGTGTACAGTATGATTACTACAGGTATTTAACTTACTACAAAGCGTCAAAGATATGATCATTACTTTGAATAACTAAAGAGTTTGTCAACCAAAAATAATAAGTGGTTTTCAGCTCTAAAAGAAAATGATACTCCCTCTATCCATTTATTAATAATCCTGAGAGTGTAGTTTAAATGCAACACCTAGATATAGATATATCTGTCCCAACAGTGCTATTTGCAGATTTTTATACTTTTTACAGGCTAATTGCTCTCCTTTAGCCCTTTGAAATTTAGCATTATTTTTTTAGAAATTTACCTTAAGGTTCTAACTTGCACGCATTATATGGTATAAATAAACATCTGATAAATTAAGGTAGCAAAATTGCACAATACGCTACTAGAAAGATTATTTTTGAGAGCCCGTTTTCGTTCTGTACTCGAAACAATTTAAAAAGGAAGTAGGGATAGTTGTGATTACTATTTTTTTTTTGAACTAACCAGTTTGGATGTGTTCATTATATTGGCACAATCTTTACTTTAACAAATTATCATTTGTTGAAGCTCTAAAAGCTTGCCTTTATAAATTTCAACCTTCTTTATCAACATTCGTTTATAGCAACAAACTACTAAATTTTTGGATTTGCCTACAGGAGTTAGTAGTTGACGTAGCGTTAATAGCTTTCTAAACTAAAACTCTAAATTATAGACATTACCCTTGCTACTAGTCACTTATGGCTTAAATGTAAACCTTAAAGACTTGACTGTTAGTTGATTTTGCCCATGTTCTTACCTTGAGTACCTAAGTATTCACTAGCCTCATTTAAAAAAAAGCCTCAAATCAAGTTTTAGATAAAAGGGTTGCGCCCGGTGGAGAGCTGTTTAATTCATGTTATTTTCTTTATAATGAAGCGACCTTATACTTTTATTAATAATCTCCATTTTGATTTAAAGTTTATTTTGTCATTTTATTTTTTTTCGTAGTTTCCTTGGTTATTCTTCTTTTCTTATACTATTGTTTGTTGTTTTTTATGCATTTATTTGTAAATTTATCACGCATAAGGTCGTATTATAAATCCAATAATGTTTCAAAGTTGGCAAAGGTACTCTATTTTGGTAGGTGAAGCCCCATTGAAAACATTGCCTCAATAAGGTTTCTATTATGGCAGGAGGGCGATTATACAGAGGTAATACTTTAAGGGACGTAAATATTTTTAAGTACTACTAAGTTCAAAGTGGAGCACAGTTGTAGATCGAACAAAAAATCTTTTTCTTATACCCAAATAATGTATTATGTAAAGCACATCGTTTAAAGTTTTAACACTATTAAGATTGAGGTTGTTTAACGCAACTCGAGGCAGTTGAACTCTGATCTTAATATAGCTTCGCATTCTAATTTCTTAAAAATTGAATAGGTCAGCCTTATTGCAACGCACCTCAAGCAAACGGTGGTCCCTTTCATAGAAGGCTTTTGATAAGTATAATATTAATGTCTATGGTAAGGTAGGCAATTGAGCAAATGCTAAATTGTTAGCTTTAAACTGTAAGGATAAAATCTTTTGAACTAATTGATTAAGATTTAAGGCGGTGTTTAAAACAAAATTAATGTTACCATTACACGATTTTTATAACTATTAGTACTGAACATAATACCAGTTTTGCACTTCTAATTAAGAAACTTTTTATTTTTAATAGCGAGCAGTCTATTATTTTAAACTAATTTTCTAATAAATAAACTTTTAACTATCGGCCACTTAGCTTTCTTAAGTTGTTAAAATTTTTACCTAAAGTTTATGGGTCTGAGTGAAAGTTTAATTTCTTGATCGACAATTTAGGTTCTTAATTAAGCAAGTCTTTTTTGTTGGTTTGCGTTTTTTGGGCCTACTTTATTATTTCTTTATTTAACTGTAAAAAAGACTGCTATCATCGGGTTATTAGTAACATGATAAAATGATAAAATACTGCCATAAAAATTTTTAAAGTTAAACCTATACAAAAATAGCTCATAATTTAAAATAAAAATAAATGAACGCGCTTCACCTCCATTCGAATTTTAAATATAAAAAATAATATTTACACTCTATTCTGTACGTTGTTATAACCCTTATCGATCTTTACCAAGTCTAATATATAAACAGTGCCGAAAGTATTGATGGTCACTAAACCCTGAGGCCAGATATTAAAAATTTAAAAAGGTTTTAACTAGTTTCTCACAAACTTATTCAACATTAAAATTAAGTAAAGCAAGACTATTTTGGTCAACTGGAGAAATTTTTTTTAAAAAATTTCTTTAGAAATTACGTGTAAAGGATACTCGGCCTTAACCAGCCTTTCATTGATTTCGGCTGAGGTCGTATATACCATTTACCAAAATTAACACAATTTACTAAATTAGCCAGTAAGTAGTGCTGTGATACACAATCCTTAAAGTTGTATTGAACGGATCGTTTACTGTACTTATCTCCGCATTAAGAAATAAAAACTATAAAAAGCTTAAACACAGTATTTAAAAATAGTTTTATAGTGTAATTTTAGTCACTTTACAAGACAAAATAGAAGTCGTTGCAACTTGATGTACACCGTGACTAGACAGGTATCACAGTACATCTATATATTTATAGGCGCTGCGTACTGTTGTAGTTTCGTTATGTATATTATTAGTATTGTGCAAGAACTAATGGTTTTGTTAGTTTCCATTTTTTTGTAGTAACAACGTTTTTAAAGGTTCCTTGCTCAGCATATTTTTAACAGGGCAGAATTAGACGTAGACGTATTTTAATTTTATCACTACACATAAGTTTTAATACAGTTGTACAAACATAAGGGGTTCGTTGCAGTATTTAAAATCTTTGTTTAATTCCGGTGATACTAATCAATAGTAATAGTAATTTTTCTATAAAATATTATTAGGAAATGGAGATTAACTTAAATTCTCTCAGTAGATTACTCGCTAGTAGACCACAGAGAGAAGTTTTAAGAAATTTGAGGAATGAAACTAAAATTGTTGATAGCAACTCATTTTCCTTTTCTTCATCAAGGAGCATCTTTATAGATCATTGCTCGAATTCTACTGTTGAAGTAAAATGCAAAGTGTCAACCATCTCTCTTTCAAATTGTACAAGCCTAAAGCTTCTGGTTTTATTTTTCATGGTCTACTATTCTTGATTTAGTATTTATATTTATATTTAAATTTTTAGATGAACGATATAATAACTGGCTTGATGCCATGAAATGTACTGGACTAGATATTATTTCTTATGGCAATTGCAATGCCTTTACGGTAGCTTTTATACTTGAAACATTTTGGTTTAATCTTGTTATAAAGCGAAATAAGTTCTTAAAAATTTTAAAATTGCAATGCCTTTACGGTAACTTTTATACTTGAAACATTTTGGTTAATCTTGTTATAAAGCGTAGTAAGTTCACAAAAATTTTAAAAATATATATTTTTTTTGCATAAACTTAACAAATTTTTAGTTCTAAGCTTTTTGAAATTTATAAGTCTATTTCTTTTAAAAGTTGGACTCTGTAAGTCAGTCGGAAATAATATTTAAAGGAGAATTTAACTATAGTTCTCCTCATCACGAAGTTCCTTGGACTATTTACACTTCTTTAGTTAATAAATATTTTTTTAATTTTAGCACCATTTTTTAGACTAAAAATTTTTGAAATTAATTTTTTAAACTAAATATTTTTATTTATATTTTTTCCCCATCAGTTTGTGTTTATAATAATTAGTGGAGTTTATTAGTGTAGATGGCTTAAAAGTTTTTGACTTGAATTCTTTATTTGTGCATTAACAAAAGTGCTCGGATATATGCGTGTCTATACAAACAGAATTTTTTTCGACCAATTATGCCGTCCCTCCGGATAACTTAGGTAAAAGGTTATGTAATAAAAACATTAGAGGTGCTTATTATTTACTTTTAAATTTTTTAACGCAATTTATCTTTAATTTACGAAGCCAATTTTGTATTTGTTTTAGTTTATTTAATAAATTCATATTGGTTGGCAAAATTTATGCAACAAGGTATTTTATTTTTATTATAACCTTCAAATTTTTATTTTTTTTCAGAAAATGAACTTCAAAGAAACGCCACTAAATGGGCAAATAACTCGTGTGTGACTTTCCCAGTGACTTTTTACGGCCAGAAGATTGTTGAAGTCGAAGAGTGCGCCGTGGATCGATGAAAATTTTTATTTTAATTAAAAAATAATAATAAAGAAAAGGAATTAACCAATTTTTTTGTTAATTATAAGTTGAGATTGAAAATTAAAAATTTAAATTATTAAATTTACAAAAAATATACTAGAAATTTATTTTAAGTATAAATTATAAGAAAAGGAATGAACCATTTTTTTACCTTTGGAGAGTGCATTTAGTTTAGTCTTTAAATATATTAATTTATTTTAAAAATATATTTATAAGTATAAACTAAAAAGTTTAAAAAAAATTAAAAGTAATTCAAAAATAAATTAAAACTTAAAATTTTCTTATTAGTGTAATTAATAAACAAGTATTCTCCCGCAAATAACTTTTTTGTTGTGTCTTTAAAACAATGATGAATTACAAAAATATTACTTTGTGTTAAAAAAGTTTGTTACAATTTAAAATATTGTTTAGAATTTTTATTTTACGAATTAAAGGAAACTTAAAATCTTTAAATAAAATCTGTGGCAATCCTATTTTACGGAAGCAAAATTACTTTAATGAAACAAACGTTTCTTTTAAAAAATATATAATACCAACGTTACCACATTTTCCGTTTTTGATTATACTGCTATAAATAGTAAGCAAAACTTTCTGAAAAAGTTTTTTTTTATATTTTAATTCTTTAAAAAACTTATATAAAATATAAATTCAAAATTTGTCTAAATATTTGCTTAGGCGCAGAATTTCAAAGTACCTTAAAATAGAAACAGCTACCGGTGGATACTTTTAAATAAAATTTAAATTTCTCTATTATCACTTTTTGAAAATACGTTAATTTATTTATCATAATATGACTTATTATTATAATTGAATCCCCACTAAAATTTGCTTTGTATCGATCAAAAAATATTTACGTAAATACTTTTATCTATGTGATTGTGGATATAGCAAAATAACATATATGTATTCGAAAAGCTAAAATTTATTTAAAAAATAATAAGTAGAGTTATTTTTATATTTAGGTGTTCAAAAAAAAGTAACTAAACTTTTTTGTTTTATTAATAAATCTGAGAAACACAGATTAATAAGACCTGGTTATAAAATAATGATGGATTGGAGTAAATAAATTTCTATAACAAAATTTGGAATAAATGTTTACTCATATAAATTCCATTATCTAAGGGTCAACCTAATTTATAGTAACAATACCATACTTTTAATCGTGGTTATATTCCTTACAAGTATTAACAACTACTGTTTATTGTGCTTAAAAATTGTTTAACTTCTGCTAAAGATGATTAATGCAAAGTAAAAAATCACTTTAAAAGTTAACGATAAAATGTTTTTATGGCTTTACTAACATAAATTCAAAGTTAGCTTTAAATATTATATAATTTTTTTAAAAATATTTTATGGTCATAATATAAGCGTTATGGTGGCTTCAGCTCGAATTAATACTTTTTTACCGCGACTACGCCCCAACTATAATATCCTCAGGGTGAGGTTGTGAACTTAAGTTTCACCTTCAATAAAGCTTTTTATTTTATATCTTTTATTGACCACTAAAGTTAAACTCTGGTACCACGAGTGAGGGTAAGCACAACACATTCAAAGAAGAGGTAGTGTGTTAGAACTGGGATATACTTCGAGTATTTTAAAGCAAAGAGTCACATTTCTTACTTTTTATTAAAAAATAAAGTAGTAGAATTAGTTTACACATTTAGAGCTTTGAAAAATTTTGTAACTTACCTTTTTTTATGAATTTTTTTTAATAGTTTTATTAAATATGTTTAGTTGAACTTTTGTTTAAACTCTTAAGGTTTTGTGTACCTTATGATCGATATATATTTATGACAAATTCAATTTTTAATAAATAACGAAATATAAATAAAAAAGGCTAACTTTTTTTAATAAAGGAAAATAGTTTTACTTTATCATAAATCGGTATACGCCAGATGATATAACTATTGCCTTTGCCCATTTGCAGGCTTAATTGTTGATAATTAGAAAAATATTTATAACTATTTAAGCTTAATCTTATTGTTAAACCTTGAATCCTAATGTTATATATATTGTAAGGGAGAAAAAATTAATTTTATTAAGCCGCTTTACACAGGAACCATAAGTTACTCATTGAAAGTATAGCTTTTAAGAACATGCAAAAACAAATTGCCTACCAAAGAATTGATAATTTCATGGTGTACTGCAAAGTTAAGTCATTTGATTAACATATTAAAAAATAGTTTTACCGCCCTTATATATAAATTATAAATCATTATAAAAATGAGAATGAGACAACTGGAATACTAATATTCCAATACAGACGCCTTGTTAAAATGAATTTTAGTAATATGTGGCATGCAATAAATGTACTATTACAAAAAGCAAAGAGGTACGAAATAGATAAACCATAAATATTGAGAAGACCAGAGTTCGAGACTTTTTTTAAAACAGAAGGTGAACAGGTTTCATTTAATATTTCTCTGTTCTCATTCGCAGTATATATCCGTTTAACCTTTAGACAAGCAACCAATGATTACTTACTGTTTTGTGCTTTTAGATTTATCTTTTTAGCCCACTACTAACTTTTTTCAATGCTCTACACCTATCTTATTCTATACATCAATTTCTATAAATGTTGTTTTAATAAAAAGAAAAACTTAATGATTATTGTAATAAATTAAGTAATCAAGTTTAATTTTTACATATTACAAGCATTGAGTTATTATCTTGCAAAACGCTAGCAAAACGCTGCCATAAATTACGAAGCGGTAAGCATGAGAGTACTACTTTAGTCAGTAGAAAGTTTGCTAAGGGCTGCTTTTTAACGACTGTTCTTTTAAAATGTTCATATAAAAATATAAAATACTAAAACTTTTTAGAATTTTTGGTTATACTATAAAAACCAGATCAGCACGAACTCTAACATCCAATATCTCTTTAAAACATTATATTAATCGATTAAGTTTAGTTGATCTTAAGTGATTTTAGAGTTGAGAGGAGCATGTATTTTTAATACCCATGTAATAACAAATTATGAATGGTAATGTAAAAAGACACATGTTTATTTAATTTATTATTTTATTTAATAGTTATAGAATAGTTTTTTCATTAATAAACTTTCAGAAATATATCTTTTTCAAAGAAAAATTTGCGAACTTAATACAGGCTAAGGCGTGCCTTAATTCAATACTTGCGCATTGGGCGAGCTAGGGTTGCTCAAATCTATCATTTATTATATAGTGTAGTTAATGGTAACTTAAATCTTAACATTTGTAAAAATGCAAACCCAAAAAGTAGTTTGAAAGCACGTTACTAAAAAGAAAATGCTTGCGTCGGATTGGTGTACCCTTATAATGTATTAATCGCACGCAACTGAAGTCATTACCTTTTGGGGTAATGAAAAATTTCAGATTGAGAGCCCAAGGAAAAAAACAGTAATATTCAATGTGAACCAAAAAAATTAAGGATTACAAAGGTTATTCCAATTGAAAAACTCGACTTATATTTACCTTGATAGAAAGAGGCCTCAGAAGCGCTCCACTCTTCATTATCCAGCAATTAGAAAATGAAGGCTCTTGCTTGGGATAGACTCCACAACACAGCAAATTTTAAGGATCGTAGAGAACAATATTGAAAAAGCTTTTGATAGAGTCTGGCATAAAGGACATATAAGTTAATTTCATACAAATTGCCAGAATACCTTATACTCGTGCTGTATTAATTTCTTTGTGGTAAATCATTTGTCAATACGAATAAGGGGAAGTCTTGTCCGTCCCCAGGGGCATCAAGCTGCAGTCCTTCTGCGCTCTCTTTCATCACTTTCTTATTCTCCCTATATGCTTGATGCCACATCCCTCTCCTGCCAACAAAGTTTTTCTAGTTTTATACTCTGACGCCGTTGCCACATATAGTATTTGGAAATCAACTGCATTAGCTATTAAATGTGTGCAGGCTTTCCTTATACACTTGAAAAAGGTTTGCAAAGTAGAAAATTACGATAAACCCTACCAAATTTCATGCGATGATCATCTCAAGAAAAAGAAAAAAGGGGAAAATTAAAGCTGTAACTCTACCGCGACATCTCTTCCTTGATGCATAAAGTAATGTACCTCGGCGTTATTATTGACTCCAGACTTAACTGGAAGCTTCATAATAGTTATCTTGTTAAATAAGTTAAGAACATAACTTCTGCTTTATAACCTCTAATATGCAAAAGCAGTCTTTTGAATCTTGAAAATAAACATCTTATATATAAAGCAATTATCAGGCTATTATTAGTTACGCATCTGTCTCATGGCCTTACTGCTCGACTTTGCAAATAAACACACTTCAAGTTCTTAAAAATAATGTCTCCTTAAAATGTTTACAGGCGCACTTTAGTTTGGGCGAAAGTCCCAATTACATTATGAATGTGTAATGAACCTCTTTTGCTTTACCTTAAATGGACGGCTATAAAATGTTTTAAACAATATGAAGAACACCCCAACAATTTAATAACTAACGCCTTGAACTATACTCCTACGGGGAAGGGGAATGTTAGACCTTAACTCGCTAAGACATCAATGTCTTTATGTTATGAGAGGTGACCCGAGAGGTTTTCTGTTGTAAATTAGGCTACCCTCCGCAACCCTCTCCGTAATGAGGGTATATAAATTAAGCAGTATGAGTTATAGCAGGGTGTATCGATTGTAGTATGTCAAAACGATAAAAAAATAAAACCACATGATGGCTCGTCCATTTTTTCTTTCTGTCCTTTCTTCTTTCTTCTTTGGTATTTACCTCGTCAGTGTTTCAGTTTTACGTTGCTAGAGGACGCAGCTATATCATAAAGGTTATAGTTTTTGCCTAGAGGGCTAGAAAAAAAACTAAACGTTTAGAGGGCGTAATAGTAGAATTAATAACTTAGTAGTCTAGAGAACAATTAAGTAAATACTTAATAACTAGTTTTTTTTACTAAATATTTTTAACAGATTAAAAAACTTTATATAAACAATATTAATTGATAACTACCTTATATTATGAGAATCAAAGAGACATAGGTTCAACTTTATTCTCGGCAGAAGCCGAATACATTGCACAGGCAACCTGCATACGTAGTCAGTTGGCGTCAAGACCTAACTAAGGAGCTGGGTTTAGGAAACCTTTGAATAACAAAAATAAATGTCGCTCAAGAACTTTAATAAAATAACACAAAAAAATCATAAACATAACTTTCTTATAAACGGTTAAATAACACGTTAGCCTTTTCGCTAGCACATGAGTTATAAAAATGTAATAAAAATAAACCGTAATTAGTTTTGCATGGAGATGTGCAGACGGAAGACTCTCTATATATGTCAATCCCACTACCGAAAAAGGATTCAACTGAAGGGCACATTGTCTTGTCTATAATACTATTGCAGCCACGAGATGGTAGCGGACTTGTTTACAAAGATGCTTACGGAAAGAAAAAAGAATTTATAATATTTAGAGTCAAGCACTTTGTTAAATGTTTATAAATTATGGAGTACCAGGAGAGTGCTAGGAACAAGATCCCAGTTCCTAATTACTGACGCGCACCAACAAAATTAGGCAATATTTATGTTCATAATTTAGATGCTTCTAAGAATGATTGTTTTTTAAAATAAAGTGAGTCGGAAGGGGCTCGTGCCTTCTGATTGAGGAGCTTAGTCGGGGAGGCCTGACTGGCAGTGGTGCTGGCCGGTGTCTTCAGGTGGGCCTGAGGCTGCCTCTACCGATAGTGGTTTTTAGCGGTTTTCTATCACACTAGACTAAAATGGCTTGGGTTCGGGCCGGCTATCTTCCGCTTTTTCAATCCTTCGGAACAGTGATGATAGTCCAAGCTCCTTCTATTGGGCATTCGGGTCCGTTTAAATCAGATTAAACATTTATTAGGCCTTCTTTCATATAGGGCCTGGCTGTAGTATGTCAGGTAATAAAAATAAAAAAAAGAGTGAATCCCGTTCATTTTTGCCTGCACTATTTGCTTGTGTCTTTACGTCAGTTTGGGAAGGTTAAATACCAGCACAAAAAGATTTAAATACCCTAACAGTGTAAACTGAGCAGGTGTATTTCTCTTAGATGCTTATACTTTTAGAGCTTTTACTTTTGTTATAGCCCACAGTATTTTCTAAATGTATTTTCAGTATTTATTAAAAACATTTGTGCGCTAAAGCCATTGTAATTTAATAAGGTAATTAAAAATTTAGTTCTATACTTTTTACCTGTTACAAAAAATGTAAAGCTTCTTTAGTTAACAGTAATTAAGACACATGATATATTAGTTAAGCAGGTTCAAAAAATATTGAGTTAAAAAGTTTTTATTGAGAGAATTAAAACATAACACTCAGAAAGCTTACAGGGGCGTGAACTTCACCATAAACTAGATGTCACGAGAACCCTGTTACATGATTGCTGGTGGCAAAATAGCAATTAGTGCTTGGAGTATACAAGGTATTGCAAGTAATAATCTCAACACTATACTTCATATTGAGCTACAAGAAGTGCAGTGGTAAAAAGGGATCTCTACGGCTCATCTCAATGCTTACTAACTCATATGATGACTTGGTTTTACGTCCAACGCGAGTTTTTATTAGCTTTAACTTGTAAAAAAACCTCAAAAGAATTGCAAAACTAATGTTTTAAACAGTCTTTAATTAAAGAATATATATAAAATAATATAACTAAAAAATTCCATTCATTAAAAAAAATTATTATATGCTTAAAATAAATGTAGCAATTAGAAGAAGCTTTCTCTTATCACCGGCAAATTTACTACAAAAGTTTAGTTAAAAACATTTTATTGGGTAACTCTAATAGGAGTTGAGCACACCCCCTTAATGGAAATTCGCAGGAGTAAGGTCGCTTTTTATGCTAGTAGATATTTTTTCAAAAAAATGTATAGCCTTAGGTTGTTACCGACCTTAATATCAAAGTTATTCATTTATTAATGTCATTATAGTAACCGTGCACCTAAAAAATTGTTGACTAAAATATCTTAAAAATAATTTTTTTAGAGCTTCTATAAAAAAGCTTATATATCCAATGGTTATTAAAAATATAAAATAAAAAAATGTATATATTTCCATAGTCAGGCATTTTCTAAATTCACTATTAGCAATTTTTTTATGTACAAATAGTAAAGATTGCGCTAGCTATTTAAATACCTCTTCATCTTTAAGCAACTATTAATAAATCATGCAGCTTTAAAAAAAACGAGAGGGGGCGTGGAGGAAAAACGCTATAATTTTTTTTGAATGAGTGATGGTATATAGTGCCGCTGGTTCTCTGTTAGCAGCCCCCCTGCGTGGTTTTACATATACCTTTACTATCGTGTGGCAGTATTAAGGAGAGTACGTATTAAAGAGGGGATAAAAGGCCTAATTATATAGTAAAACAAAGGTGGTTGTTACGTTTTTTAGAAAAGTAAATTATTATTTTTTTTGCAACGTGTTTGCTTTTTTCTTTACTGACTTAAAGGATGCCTCTTGAAAATATGGAAGTGAATTTTCAACAAGAAACCTTGGTCACCGATGTAAGTTTGGATAAGTTAACTCGTGAAGGTAAAGAGGAAAGTTGTAAAAAAGTTATTGACCTTATAAAACGAAATGTCCTTCTTCTAGAGAAAGGTTTTTTTCCTCTTATTGTCATGTTTTACTTCCGTTTCGATTATCTTATTTAATTTTTAGGCGTATCTACAAAAGAAAATCGATTTTTTTCTAGGGTAGTTAGGAATTTATCAACGTTGAAAAAGAAACTGACTGCAGAAATCCTCTTCGTCTGCATTTCACAGCTTATAACAGATCTTAGCCCAGACAAACCTTTTTTATTATCTTTTCTAAATAGCTTCGATGAGTCTTTACTTTTAAAAAAAGACAAAATGGATATTGATAATACCTCTGAAGTTAATAAAGAAGAACATAAAGGTGCATAGTTATAAGTTACCTTTGCCATGCCTTTTTTATTTAAGGTTTTTAAGTTTTATATATTTAACGTTTTTTGTCGTAGAGAACATTTCATATGTTCCGGAAGTGGATGTTTACTTGCAATTACTTGTTTTATTATGGCTTATTCGGCAAAATCGTTCTACGGATGCCATTAGTTGTGCTGGTTCATTTGTGCAGCTTAACTTTTTCCTTTAAAAAATACATTAGGTTATATATTAACAACTATAACAACTATACTTATAGATAATTTAGTTGAAAGATTTCAGGCTCACAAAAGGCGAACTCTTGACATTCTTTATGCTCGAGTTTATTTTTATTATGCACTCGTGTATGAAACTGCCGATCGTGCCAATGAAATTAGAAAGTTGGCTCGATTTATTTTTTAATTCGTGTTCTTTTATTAATAATATTTGCGAATTTTATATTTTAAAAAATTAGCCTTATAGTTTTAAGAAGTAATATTTTACTAGAAAAAATTTTTAAATAATTTTTTTTATTAATTATATAAAACTTATCACTTATTAGATCAGTAAGGGATTCTAAAACTAATAAATATTTAATGTCTATATATAAAATATTATTGTAACGCTAATTTATTAGTTTATATAACAATATGTATGTTGTTAACTATTACTTTTTTTCTCTTTTAGATACTTTAAATTTAATTTTGTATTGATTGTAATTACGTGATTAATGAAAATAATACTTGAATATTTTAAAAGGATTAAAACATGTTTAGATTTTTTTACTTTATTTAATATAAATATATATTCTAATATTTAATTTAATATTTTTGGAAGGCCACTGATGCTTGCTCTACGGACAGCCACACTTCGGCATAATTTTGAAAGTCAATCTACCTTAACAAATCTTTTAATTCGCAACTTCATTCTTTATAAATTGTACGACGCTGCGGAGAAGTTCATATCACGTTGCAGTTTTCCTGAAGTTGCATCAAACAACGAGTGGGCGCGTTATCACTATTATTTGGGTTATCACCAAAATTTTCAAATTTGTATAATAAAATTTATTGCACAAATTATCTGCTGGATATTTTTAATAAATAAAATTTTTAAAAATAAATTTACGTTTGATTGAAATTTTTTTAAATTTGGTTTTAGTTTTTTAATTATATGGTCTCGCTTTTAATTTATACTATTTTTTTAATTATTAGTTAGAAATGTGTAAATGTTATTTTTTATTAAATAAGTTTTCTATGACATATAAACCATTATTTTGAAATTATTTTTTTGCTTTTGAACTTATAATAAAATTTATTAATTTAATTTTTTTATATATGCACAAATTATTTAAACTTTTAGTTAAATATTTTTATTTAAAATTCTATAATTTTTAAAATTTTGACTTTTTGTCGTCTAAAAAGTAAGTTTTATTAGTTTTGTAATTTTTTGATTAACCCTTTTTTTTAATATTAATTTGAATAATATTATAGTTTTTCTCTTTATAAAATTTTTAAAAAGTCGGCTTTTACTTTATGTTCTTTTAATTAAAATTTCAATGGGACTTCATATAACTTTGAAAATTACTCGACTTTATTTATATTTTTAAGAAAATTTATATATCCTTAGTAAATTTGCTTACATTTTTATATATTTTCGTTTTTTATTTTAAATTTATATAGAAATTTTAATACTGAAAAGCTTAAGTTATAATTTTATTTTAATATATTTTTATTAAAAGTTTTCTACGTAACTTTCACTATTTGTTAAAATTTTATTACTAATAATAATTATAATATTTATTATCGTTCCTTGCACCTCGTAGGGCGCACGAAAGCTGTTCGTCTACAATACAGCGAAGCTAAAGAGCATCTAGAAGAATCTTTACGAAAGGCCCCTCAGAATTCTGCCCTCGGCTTTCAGCAAGAAGTTTTTTTTTATTTTGTTTATAAAGTTTATTATATTTTTTTACCTTTTTAATTTTTTCTAATTTTTTAAGATTTTAAAGTAATTATTATTATTATTATTAAAAGGTACAAAAGTGGCTTGTTGTTGTTCACCTCTTACTCGGGCTTATCCCAGATCGCCTTTTTTTCCAACGCGCCACAATGGGCAAAGCCTTGATTCCTTACTTGGCTATTACCTACGGTTTATCATTTTTTAATTATTAATGTAATATTATACTAAAAATATACTAACTTTTTTTAGCCGTTCGTCAGGGTGACTTGATTTCTTTTAATAAAGTAGTTGATCAATACGCCGTAAAATTTATAGCCTCAAATTTATACAATTTGGTTATGAGGTTGTAGTGGTTGTGTTAGTATTGCTTTAAACTTATATAAGAACGTTTTTTCTGCGATATTTACTGTTAAGATTTTACTCATTTCAATTTTTATATTTAAATGTGAATAGATGCCGCCACAACGTTATAAAAACCGGCGTCAAGTTAATCTGCACTTCTTATTCGCGAATTTCTTTAAGGGACATCTGCTTTAAATTAAATCTCGACTCTCCAGAGACCACGGAGTACATTGTTGCAAAAGTGAGCCTTATATACTTATTTATAACTTTAAGAAAACAGCTCATTTTTTTTATCCAGGTTATAGTGATACTGCTTATACAAGTTTAATTTATTTTAATATTAATGTTATTGAAGTTATTGGTAAAAAAAAAAAAATTGTTGGGGAGTTTTAGCGCCTTTTTACTCTGAGTTTTAAGAAAGTTGACTCTAACTTAATTTGGCGCGTTTTTTCAGTGCGGTCAACTTTGGCGTATAACCAAATTTTGTTTCTATTACATAATTTGTCTTTTACTATTTTTAAACTTTAGTAAGAAAAAGTTTGTTTTATATTAAAAATAATTTAATTTCTAGTATAAATTCTAACAACGTTATAAACCAAAAAAGTTGTTTTTCTAAAAAAAAACTTATACTCGTTAGGCCATTCGGGATGGAGTCATTGATGCTACTATTAATCACATAGAAGGCTATGTACAAACCAAAGTGCATTTATTATTTTTTTTCTTATAAAAAATGTTCTTATTTATACTTAACAAAGGAAAACTGCGCAACTTACAATACGGCAGTTCCTCAAGACGAACTTCATAAACGAATTTCTTATTGCATGAAGTTACACAATGACAGTGTGAAAGTATTTTTTTGTATTTGGCTATAGCCTCGCCGAAGTTTAATGGATTTTTTTTAAAAAAGTCTATGCGATTCCCTGATAGCGATTTCCGTAGCGATTTGGAGTCTTCTGAAGAAAGACGTATTCGAGAGCTTCAAGAAAAGGAGTTGGCTCAGGAAATTGCGGCAGAGGAAGATGAGGAGGAGGACGAATATTAATGAAAAGCAAGTCCTTTTATAGATTTAATAAAGCTTATAAACATAAACTTGAGCACTTTTTAAAAATAGTGAAAGTATAAATAACCATGACTTTACCCCTTAGAATTTTTTTTTCCAATTATTAATTTAAATTCAGTTTGCATGCCTTGTTCCAACCTTTGTATCTTTTGAAAATAATTAATTTGGGCCTCGTCATTTAAAATTAATTTAAAAAAAATCGTCTTGTAGTGTTTTTTTTCTTACAGAAAAAGTAAAGAACCGTGTAAAAGTTATAAATATATTATAACAGACCGAGTGGTCTACAATAAGGGCAAACGCACTTATTACTTGAAAGTTGTAAAAAACATTTTATGAAAAAATTCATAAATATTATATTTTAAAAATTAAAAATAAACGGTGTAATATTAAAAAAAAAAGATTTAAAGAATAAATAATATATTATGAAAAAATACAAAAAAATATTTTTTTTCAAGTTTAACTTAAATCTAAAGTGAGTATTATATTTTTTTTTAAAAAATAACTAAAAATATTTTCTAAAATATTATTCCATAATAAAGAAATTTAAAAGATTATTAGTAAATTCTCGTGAAATGAACTTTTTAAAAAAAAAAACCTTGTATTAAAAAATATACCAAAAGTATATGATGCGCTAACTGTTTCATAAACCAGATATTTGAAATATACGAAAATATAAACTCACTATAACAAAGATAGTTTTATATAATATTAATATATAATAAACCACACCAATAATTTTTTTTGAACTAGAAAGTGCAGAAGAGTTGAAAGCTAAATTGATTAATGCGAAAAACAATGATTACGAAGTTAACAAATTTCGAGTAAAAGACTACTTAAAAAGATCGAACGTTAACAATATTCGTCTACAAGCTTTTGGTCTTCTTAACTATGCTAATTATGTTGGTGACTAGCGTAGTATTTCTTACCATATAGCGCCTAAAATGGTTAACGGTTAGAGATATAATTTGCTTCGTTTACATTACCGAGAGACTACAAAGCGAATAACCTTCATATATTTATTTATTTATTTATAAATGGTGTTTTCTGGTGTTCGATAGATTTAACAACTTTAAATACATGAGCTCCCAAACGTATTTTCAGTCATCCACAAGTATAAAGAAAGTTATTATCTTCGACTGTGTCCTTCACGTTCGCTTTATACCTCCAAACATAACTTTTAAACGACATGTGGAGTGCGCCGTCCCACAACTTGTGATTCTTCCGCTAAAAGGTAATAAGCGTGTTTAGCTATCCGTCGGTAGAGGGCGACGGTATCACTTCCTAAGATTGTGGACGGCAACTCAATCCGTAGGCCAGGCAGATGCATACGTCATGACTTGGCAAATGCCTTCGTTTATTGTGCATCTGAAGCTTTATTTTGCTGCGTAGAATCTGGGTCGCTGGCTGGGCCTTTGCCGCCACGTAATTCACATGTGCAAAATGCAACGGCAAAGAATTAATAATGGCCACCAGGTATTACACTTGAGAACTCCACGGAATTTTTATGTCGTTGAAAGTTAACGGTGTCAGCAATGCATGGCGTTGCTACGTTATAAGAAGCATCTTTCCTTGCTGCACTAATATGAGATTTCGTTGACGAGACCCAGAAAGCGCGTCGAGATAATAATTTAGGCGCTGAGATAGTTAAACAGGTAGCTCTGTCGAAGTATAAATCATCGGATCAGAAACATAAACGGCGTCCCACTTGTGTGTTAATTTGATCTCATCTGTGGTAGAAGCTCCAGAAAATCAGTTGTGTCAGTCATGCACAAGGGAAGAGTTCTCGATGGTTTGTGGGAAGACGGGCAGTAAGATGAGCAGCAAAAAGTTTCGTTTTGTCCATCGCTTTCGGTTGCGGTATCAAGGGCATTTATACTCTTACCAAATGAAATTTGTTTCGAGAATCTTCAAGGACAACCCACGCATATATTACTATCAAGAAGACCGTGCGTGCACATTATTGTTAAAAAAGCATAAATTTTTTTTGGTATATTTTATTTTTCGTATTACAGGGTGATATTCCACAAGGGAGGTCAGAAGACCTAAAATAGAGTTCTTCCTAACTACTTGAAATGTTCACCGCATATACTAAAAAGCACAATGCGCACATAGAAGAGACGCAATATTTAGTTTATCAAATAAAAACCTGACTGTATTTGGTGGTAGTGCGCCCACATAGTAACAGGAAAAAACTGCCACCACCATGCGGCCTCCATTCAACACCCCCTTTACGCTGGGTACGTGCATGTGAAGATTTCAATCCTTTTGTATGCATAATGGGTTCATGGGGTTACCATTATTATAATTCTTGTATATTGGGACACTTTAAGGAAACTCTCTTAGGGACAGGGGAGTGAACTTCTTTATATTTTTTAAAACGCTATAGAATTTAATAAAAAGTTAAAAGGTGTTTTGGCTTTTTGCCTTCTAACAGATTTGTTTAAGCCTTATATATGCCTAACATTGATATAAATTTAGGCCTTGTTGTGGCTTTAAATACTTTTGGGAACGAAAAGGCTTTAAATCTAAAAACTATTGGAACAATCTTCGGTTTTGTTTATTTGTATGATACTTGCCTCTGTTCTTTAGAAGTGTTTCACGGAAGACGATCTTTTATTCATAATGGCCTAGTTTTAGGAGCTTTAGGTATTTTTTTTATTCTGTTTAGCAGAAAAAAACAAGACTTAAAAAAATTTGACACAATATTTTTTATATTGCATGGAAAATAAATAGGTTCCTTTTTTGTTTCTACAGGAAATTTTGGAATTCCTTTCCATAGTTTTATGCATCGTAACTTTTCTATTCAAATTGCAAGGTTTAAGCCAGCACAGTTAGCTCTTATCTCATATGGAGCTTTGGGGTGCCTCTTAGGTGCCTTAAGTGGGAAAACTTTGTAACAGTTCAAAATAATTTATTTATAGATAAATAATAAGTTATTCAGTTGATTTCCTTTTTCCATAGATGTTTATAACTTTTTATTATTTAATTTGTATAAATTAAACAACTTTACTTTAAAATTTTATGCCTTCTAAGAGATCATCCAATAAAATTGTTGCAAGGCTTGTAAAGATTAGAAGACATACCAAGCCTGAGACTGGCTTTGGAGTTACCATCGTTAATGTAATTGTTATCTTCTTTATTGGGCCCAGTATATTTAAGTTATTTAGTGGACAAGTAATTGTTTTTAAAGAAGTTATACAGAAAGTTATGCCTGTTATTATAGTTTTTCTACTTTGCCTATACAAACTAAAAAGCCTGCTGTTATTTTTTTGTCACCTTTCGTTAAACTTTAAAACGTTCCAAAACCCTTTTTTTTTTATTGTTAATAACTATATTTTAATCTGGATGAAGTAAGTTTACAGTTCTAAAAGTTCATACAAACTTTAGTTGACCTCACAACTTTATTTATCTTTAAAGTGAGCAGATTTTAGCTCGTTAATTCTTTTTAGCGCTATTTTAAAATGGGGATCAGTGCTTTAGCAAATAAGACCGCATGCACTTACTGGTTTTACTTTTTGCCTGTTATTCCCGGCGCATTCGCTTCTTTGAAAGATATTGACCCAATAACACTTAACTTTAATAAATAGTTACGCTCTAAGTAAACTTTGTTAAGAATGATACCATAACTCCCTTTCGTTTTTGTAAGATTTCAATTAGAGTTGAAAGACTTTAAATCTTCGGTTTCCTTTTTGCAAGGTTCTTCAATATAAATTTTTGAAATTTTAAATTAAACTACAAGTATTTGTTAGCATTATTAAACATATTAAATTCGTAAAGTTCAAACATCTTTGAATCCAAAAAAAGCCCTGAAATTTTATATAAAAATTGGTAGCCCATGACCAAGAATTAATATTTTTTGAAGTTTCAATTACTTTTTATTTCTATTTAAAGCAACCCAAAAGAAAAAAAACATAAGTTTTAGTTAAAACCCTAGATGCACTTCAAGAAAATATTAGAATATTATTTGTGAACTAAGCCCGCTTAGGTTTTCCACCCGCACGGGTGGTTGGGGGGTACGGGCCCCCGCAATTGATTTAATCAATAAAGGTCGTTTCTAGGCTGTAAAGGTTACTATTTGCTTATAATTTTGTACTGTTATTATTTGTAGCTATTACTGTAAGTGTTATTTAAATTATCATTACCAACACTGTAAGCATAAATATTTAGTAATTAAATATCATTGTATTTAATAGCACTAAAGGTTTTTACGTGAAAACACTCTGGACATGTGTGTTTTGTATAGTGGTTAGGACCATAGACAACAGCTTTAAAGTAAAGTTGGTTAGGATGTGCGCTGTAATTTAGATTCTGTTTGCTACTTAAATATGGAATTCTTCGAGAGGCTTAGTTTTACAGTGTAGGTGAAAGTTCGCGGCGGACCATGGCGTTCCGGTTACCATACGGAGGAAGTTGTTCTGTATGATCTGTAGTCTATTAATAACGAAGCCCAATTAAGTTCACGCAATAGACGCGCAAGTAAGTACGGCCTAACCAGACATTTTTTAAGCAACAATTTGTTGCTTTATTAAAAACTTAGGTGGCGTGGGCATGACTATTTAGTTTGGAGTCGAACATTACGACGAGGTATTTAACGTGATCGCTCCAGGAAATTTCCGTTTGTAAACTTGTTATGATTGGTAAAAAACCATTTTACCCTTCTTATCGTTAATGAAAGGGCCTTACTCTTTGCGGTAATGTGTCACACCAATCTTCAACAATTTCAAGATTTGGGGGTGCCATGTTGCTAAGAAAGCTGATTTTAAAATGAAGTATATTGCGGTGTCATCCGCTTAGTGAATCGTAAAGGCGTTAGAGATGTGGGGTCTCTTTGAAGTAGTTGGAAAAAAGTAGTGGTGAAAGAAGAGACCCCCGAGGGATTCCAGTAGTTAGTTTTCTTTTAGCAGGCTCCTCTAAGCTACCTTTAGTAGAAAATTTTCTTTAGTAAAAGAAGGATTTATTCTAAAAGAAAGGTTGTAGGGAAG